ATGTGGACATCTTTGGGGGTCCATTACTTTGCTTATCACAGACAGACTCTCAACTGCCATGTCCCTCTTTACCTTCACTGAACTCAACTAGAAAATCTTAACCATAAAAATTTGTATTAGCCATGACTAGGTAAATGAAAGTACAAAATGGTGTGCTTTGCTTTAACAGTGTTTAGCTTCTGGGATGTTTATGTTTCATTTTAAGTTTCCAGCAACTAACGTCAAATGGACCATTTGGGCTGTCTTGCAATCTTGTGACATTGCTGGTCAATTAGCTCCCTTCTCTTCCACTCCTCTCCTCTTTCTTCAAATCTCCAGGACCCCTTTCCTATTCCCACTCCTAGTGAATGAAATTGCTTCTTTTGCTGGGAGTGGAGAAGCAATCGAGTAAAATTCCACAAGCTCTTCCACCATCTTCTAACATGCTTGCATCTGTGCCCACATAACTGGTTATTTTACCTATTATAATCAGTTATTACACCTATTATTACAGCTTGAGAGAAGGTCAAATCCTCCACTTGTACTCTGGATCTCACCCCTGTGGTTTGCTCTGGGAAATCACCCCAGTAATGTTTCAACCTCCCCCTACCATCCTCAATTCTTCCCTCTCTATTGAATCCCAGCAGCTGATGACTATGTTACACAAAGGCACCAGTCTCACAGAAGAGAGTTCCCCAAATAGATACCCATAAATAAATCCCTACAATCATCCTCAAGTGACAGAGAACAGAGATGTGAGCTGGAGTATGTTTCCATTTTCATTATACTCACTATCTTATTAGGCTTGATATCATTTCTTTAGGCTTTAGGTTCTGGCAACTGTATTCATTTTCCTGTAAAAATTATTCATACAGTGAATCTGACCCTGTTTAGAGCCTCCACTTGACGTTTACATAGGGAGCAAGTGGCCACACTCAGACCAAAGCTACTGTCATAGTACTCACCAGTGGTCACAAATTTCAAAGATCTCAGTAAATATCTGATATCTATAATCGTTTATCCAATACAGTAGCTTCAGAAACCCTGGGGGGATGTCTGTTTATTTCACCCAACCACACAATTCCTTCTATCTTCCATAAGCTAGAAAATTATCTGTAGGCAATCTACAGATTTAATGCAGTACCCATCAAATTACCAGCAACATTCTTCTCAGACCTAGAAAAAACAACACAGGAATTCATATGGAAACACAAATGACCAAGAATAGCCAGAACAATCCTCAGTAAAAAAAAAAAAAAAGCAGGTGGTATCACATTACCAGACTTAAAACTTGACTATAAAGCTATAATAATCAAAACAGCTTGGTATTGGTATAGGAACAGGCATATAGACCAATGGAATAGAATTGAGATTCCAGAAGCAAAACCTCAATTTCTCAACCAACTCATCTTCGACAAAGCCTCCACCACCTACCACTGGAGAGAGGAGAACCCATTCAGTAAACGGTGCTGGGAAAACTGGCTGACCACATGCAGAAGATTGAAACAGGACCCCTATCTATTCCCATACACAAAAATTAACTCCAAATGGATCAGAGACCTAAATGTAAAACCTCAAACCATAAGAACCTTGGAAAATGAAGGACATACCCTCATGAAAATCAGAACTGGCATCCGATTCCTGAACAAAACCTGAAACCTACAGGCCATAAGAGAGAAGATAGACAAGTGGGACCCCATTAAACTGACAAGCTTCTGCAAAGCCAAAGAAACCATCAAGAGAGCAGGGAGACAGCCTACAGACTGGAAAAAAGTATCTGCCAACTCCAGGTCTGACAAAGGCTTAACATCCTGGATCTACAAGGAACTCAAACGTGCTGAAAAGAAAAAAAACAAACAACCCCATTATAAAATGGGCAAAAGATATGAACAGACACTTCACAAAGGAAGACATCTGAGCAGCCAAGAGACACATGAAGAAATGTTCAACCTCACTAATCATCAGGGAGATGCAAATCAAAACCACACTGAGATATCACCTAACTCCAGTCAGAATGGCAATTATCAATAACTCAAAAAATAACAGTTGCTGGAGAGGGTGTAGCGAAAAGGGAACACTTCTACACTATTGGTGGGAGTGTAAACTAGTGCAACCTCTCTGGAAAGCAGTGTGGCGATTCCTAAAAGCTCTAAATATCAACCTCCCATATGACCCTGCAATCCCCCTACTGGGAATATACCCTGAATAACTCAAATCACTCTATAAAAAAGATACCTGCACACGTATGTTTATTGCAGCACTGTTCATAATAGCAAGAACCTGGAAGCAACCATGCTGTCCATCAAAAGAGGCCTGGATTTAAAAAATGTGGTACATATACACGATGGAATACTATGCAGCCATAAAAAAGAGCAAAATCATGAATTTCGCAGCAACCTGGAAGGAACTAGAGCCTATAATACTGAGTGACCTCTCACAGAAACAAAGATCTGAGTATCACATGCTCTCACTCATATAGTGGACCTTGACCATTCAACGTAATATTATAAGAAAATGACTGACAGTGGTGGGAAACTATGGAGGGGTAGGGGAAGGGAGATAGGATTAATGGTAGTAAATATCTGTCTGAGAATGGGGAGACACCTCTTATCAACAAGGGTGTCTGAACAAAGCATACTTGTATACCTACCCCTTAACTGTACCCCACAATATCGTAATAAAAATATTGATTATAATAAAAAAAGAAAATTATTTGTAAATCATGGTTCCCATTTTGATAGGCAATATCAAAATGACTGCATGACCCAGCAATATCTTTGAACATTTTGACAGCATGAATCTTTTTATGAATGTGCTGGGAACCATATAGTCACAGAAATAATCAATTGAGATGAGGCTTCTATCAGGCAAGTTTTATACAACTGTCGGTTTGGTAAAAGTTATTTATTTAGTGGGGTCTTTAAAAAGCACAAACAAAGACAAACATCAAGTTAACTGGATTTAAAAACAAAGCCACAAACAGTATCTGTTCCTTGATATCTTATCTGATGTGCATTCAATCCAGGTTTCAATAACTTTTCAAAGTCATCACTCCCTTTACTACAAAGGAACAAAAAGAATGTCTGTGCTCATTAGAGGGAGACAGGACTGTTGGCCCCACGTGGGCCATCTTGTGAGTTAAGTAAGAGGTGAGAGCAGGCCTTATCTCCACCCTATAACCAAACCAATATCAGGTGACACAGAAGGACCCATCATAAGAGAAGCAACATGTCCTGACAGTCACTAGGACTCATTTTTTGCAACTGCCCAAGTGATTTTCTTCTTACCTGAGCAGAGGGTTTCTATGTGCAAGATTAGCATGAAAAAAATATAGCAGGGTTGGGATTTCATCTCAGGAGGAACAGGCTGTGGTTGTGGTAGCAAATAGAGCATGATGAGAAGGGCAAAGGAGCAAGGCACACGACAATGAAATGCGCATGTCTCACCAGCCCCTTGGCCTTGCCTACCTCTCCCTTCTCAACTCTGTCATCTCAGATTCCAGCTTAAAGACAAAACGTGGCCCTCAGACTCACCATCCAAATAAAAACTTTGTGGTCAGTGTTTTGGTGCTATGCTTTCTAGTTAAAGTACTGAGTCTCCTACAGCAGAGGTGAATTGCCCGAGTTCACATGTGTGGGGAGTGACAGGATGAGTCCCCGAATTCTGGTCTTTAGACTTCCAAGCCAGTGCTCTTTCTGTTAGCCACAGTTGAGCCAAGAACACAGTGTCACTGGCACTGTGGGTGACAGAATGTGAGTCTATGTTTGTGTGTATAACAAAGTTGGCACTTGGGCAATGGGGGCTTGATAATTCTTGTTGAAGGGGGATGCTGTTTTGTGTATTGTAGGGTGTTGATTATCATCCCTGGCTGCAACCCACTAAATGCTAGGAACATCTCTCCTCCAAGCTGTACCAACCAAAAGTGTAGCCAGATATTGTCGAACGTTCTCTAGGGACAGAGAATAAAATCATCCCTGGTTAAGAATCACATATCTATATATGTATTTGTATATGTATGCATGCACATATGCATGTGTCTGTGAATATATGTGAGTGTGTGTGTGTGTGTGTGTGTGTGTGTGTATGAACTATTTTATGAACAGCAAAAAATTAATGAAATATCCTCTCAACCTCTGCCAAAATAAAACAAAGTGAAAGAGAAGTTCTGCAGATACTGATATCCTCAGAGGCAATCTTCTAGCTTCTAGAAGCTTCCTATCCTTCCTCTGCTTTTTTTTTTTTTAAAGTTTCAGGCACACTGGCCAATGTTCCTTTTATGGCAGTTTTACTCTATTTGTACAACAGCATAGTTTTTCTTTCTGTCTTAAATTAGCTTTCTGCTACATACTAATACAAATTATAAAGTGCCTTTATAGATGATAGTAAACATTCAGAGACAGACTTTTACAAATTCAAGGAATTCAAGTACATATTTCTCATCTTTATTGAAATCAGGATCTGTGTAAAATCATCAGTCAATAAGGTGTACACTTTATTTAAAGGGAAGATCAACTTGGGGTATTACAAAGGAAAGCTGTGTGTATCTTCTCAGTCTGAAGTACACTGGCTTCAGTGCAACATAGAGCACACTAGCTGAAAAAAATTGGATAAAGATGAGTTAACTTTGGTAAAATCTCTGATTCCGCATTTGCAGAAGGTCAAATGATTAGCTTAACAGATTGCTAAGGTATTCTTTTCAAATGGTTATTTTGAAATTAAATGGAGATAGATACAGCTTTTCTTCTGTGTCTATTCACTTCAGACTGACAAGATACACATCATTTTCCTTTGTAATGCTCCAAGTTGACCTTCCCTTTAAATAAATGTATTAGTTGACATGCAAATTTGTCCTCATTGAACAAGTCTTTCAAAATGGACACTAGTGCCAGCCAGCAGCCAAGAAACTGTAGCTTCCTTCCTGTGTGAATGCTGGGTGTGAGAAAAGTTCACAGCTTGCGGCTTTGGCAGAGCAGATGTTTGACTTCCAGCGTTCCCCGGCAGAAAGGCAGACAGGGCCTTACCTTTGGGAATGGTGATCTGACAGCTTAGGTCACAGTCCTGCTGCAACTGATAAAAAGCCACTTCCTGTAGCCGAGCCCTCTCCAGCTCTGAGAGACTCTGGATGGGGACTGACCTCAGGCGCACACTGCGGCCTGACATGCTGTTCCAGGTGAAATCACCCTGCAAGCCAAGGGAAAAAACATCAAGAGTTACACAGTTCACCTATATCTCACAAACCTTATCCTTTCTCTTTGTCAGTAATAAATAAAGCCAAGCAAACGTCACCTTTGTTTTTAAAACGTGGTTCTCAATTCCCAAAATGAAATCCTCTCTTAGTTTTCTGTGGATTTTTTCACTCAATTGCAAAAGTCAAAATCTCGAGTATCTGCTGGGTCACATGGTCTCACCTCATGTTGCATACACACGCCAAAGAAAACTATGTGGAAAGATGCTGCGAAGTTTCTACTTCCTTTATTTTATGGGATCACATGGGAACTTTTTATTTTTGTATTTCAGTAACAGAAAAAATTGTGCTGCTAATTGTCATTATGCACAGTAGATATGGGGGGCATATGTGCTGAGAGCCCATCATGTGCCAGTGACTGTGCCAAGGACTTTTAAAAAAACTGACAAATAGGCTGGGCTCCATGGCTCAGCCTGTAATCCCAGCACTTTGGGAGGCCAAGGCGAGTGGATTGCCTGAGCCCGCGGGTTTGAGATTAGCCTGGGCAACTTGGCGAGCCTTCATCTCTACAATAAATTTTAAAAATTAGCCAGACGTGGTAGCATGCGTCCATAGTTGTGGCTACTTGGAAGGCTGAGGCGGAAGGATCACCGGAGCCCAGCAGGTCCATTCTGGGGTGGCCGTGAGCGTGCCACTGCACTCCAGTCTGGGCGACGGAGTGAGACTCCAACTCAAAAAAAAAAAAAAAAAATGACAACAATTGTACATATGCATTGGGTAGATAGCAATGTTTCCAAACATATAATGTATGCTGATCAGATCAGGGTAATTAGCTATCCATCATCTCAAACATTTATCATTTATTTGTGTTGGGAGAATTCAATAGCCTCCGAGTTATTTGAGGCTATCTATTATTGTTAATTATCATCAAGGACTTTTCAGTTAATCCTTCCAACAGCCTTATGAGGCGGTTAACATTTTTTTATCTATCTTATGTAATATTTAATGATATAATAATATAATGTAGTGTAATTACGATGTATAACAATATATTATATGATAGTTTATACTTATGATACATTATTATAATATGTACTTATAATACATTAAATTAATATTATATTAATGTAAATATATATCAATATAATAATATAATATAGATAACAAAACTGAAGCTTGGAGTAGTTAAATAATTTTTCCCAATTTATAAAGCTTATAAGATTTGGAACCAGGACTCAAGCTAAGAATGTAGGGCTCTAAATTCTATGCTAAAATGATAATCACAGACATTCTATTTATAGCACTCTCATGAGCTATTTTGAACACTAAGTTCAGAGATATGATCAATAAGAATATGTACAGTATTTACAGACAATTGATGCTAAAATATTTTGCATCAGAGTCAAATCAGAGATTCCCACAATACTTAGAGTGCATCATGTGCACTAATGCATATCCTTGCTGTTCATGGAGGGTGAATAGCTCTACCCCCGAGGCAGACAGTGAGAAAATGATGGCTTAAGAAAAAGTACTTCTCAGTCCTCTGAAATTCAATGTCCCTTTACTAAAGAGGGCTTCCTGTGAATCATATGCAACAAGAACAGATTTGAAGTGGCAGCTACTGTTCCCACAGCAATTGAGAAAAGAAAATTTCTCTGGGGGAAGCAGAGGTGCTGGCCCACACAGGCACTGCCAGAGACTCATTGCAATGAGTGCAACACTTACAGAATGTCTTAAGACTTCACCATCTTAACGAAGTCACCTAAAAGAAAGGAGACAGACTGGTCTCGATAACTATTAAGATACTTTGTTCCACACTAGTGGCAAATTACTGCCTAGAGTGTTCATTCTAAACAGTGATTGGCAACATGTTAATTTTTTGATATTATCCCCTCTTTATCCAGGATTTAATTCACTCATTTAACAAATGACTAAGCACAAGTTTAAACAGGAGTTGGAGACGCAGGCCTTGGGTGTACCATTTATTCATACCCTCTAAGCTTAGGTACATAAGGTATACAATCAGTGAATTGCTTCTCCGCCTCCAGATAGAAAGTCCCAGATGAGTTTGTACCTTTTAGATATAAAACTTAGTACTTATCGATATGAAACTAAGGGAGCTGACTGCTATTTGAAGTGTAAAAGTAGAATGGCATACCTATTCTTTAAAAGCATTTAAAAATGTGACCTGTACTAATAGGCTGAACTATCTATAGCAGGGGTTTGACAATATTTTTCTATAAAGAGCCAGATAGTAAATATTTCAGGTTTTGTGAGCCATGTGTCTCTGTCACAACTACTAAACTCTGCCTTCGTGGCATGAAAGCAGCCATAGATAATTTATAAGTAAGTTAGTGTGACCATATTCCAATAAAACTTTATTTATAAAAACAGATGCAGGCTGAATTTGGCTTGTGGGCTGTAGTTTATCAATCTCTGAACTATAGCTTATGACTGAAATAAACAAATTCCTAGAAGGAGAATTGTATTCTAATTTACTATGTCCTCCTGGTTAATTAATTCAAAGAGAATACAATGAGCACCTATGACATGCTAAGCACTGTAGTAGGCTTGGGATTATTAAGATAACACAGTCCTTGTCCTCAAATAGTTAACTTTCAGTTAGGAAGAACACAAGCAATCCATAAAGATACAGAGATTGTGATACTAGAGATAAGTACTAAATGCAAGAGTACCTAGGAGACAAGGTTTTGTCACCTATCTAGGGGATCAAGGAAGGTTTTGTAAAGGGGGTAGTGTTTCAGTGGAGACTTGAAAGTTGAGTAAGAGGGCTCAGAGTTTGCCCAGTAGAAATGCAAATTTAGAGAAACAGTGTGCACCAAGGCAAATGAGTTTGAGAAAATAGGTTTGTTCGGGAAATTACAAGAAATAGCAGAGGTGAAGCCAAGCAGAAGTCAGGGCCAGAACCTGTAGGGCCTTCTCAGCTGGCAGTGCACAATAGATTAGATTTTCTTCCGTGGGTGATGGATAGTTGTTCAGGAACCTGGAGTAAGAGAAGAACATGAGTATTTGCATATGGGAAAAATGACTGGAAACTAATTTCTTAAGGAATTCAAAGAGAGATCAAGTCAAAGATGCAGAGATGAGAAAAGACTCTGGGCTAGGTATGATGCTGATTCCAATTTGAAAAGACATAGGAAACAGAACCACATAGATGCTTGGGGACACACTAGATGCAGTGGAGGGAAGAGAAGGAATAATCTAGAACGATCTCGGGTTTCTAGCTTGAGCAACTGGGCGGATAGTAGCACTAATCACCAAAATGAGAAACAGCAGAGGGAATTAGGTTGGGGGGGGAAGGAAGATGTTCAAGTTTTGCATATGGTGAAAGTGATATTTTATCTTGAAAAAATAGAATTAAAACACATTACTAAGTCTGACAAAACAGAACCTGGCCAGCTTCCATTTTTCCTGAGCCTTCCTTTTATTCTTCCAATTAAAATACTTCTAGCACAATTAAGTCATGTATGGTTTTCCAAGCTATTCATAAATGACTATACCTAGCATAATAAAAAGTGAAGTGTGATACTTGAAGTTTCTTTTAGTACATTATGTATTACAGACCATGATTTTTAACTTCTTAGATTGTTAAAGTTCTTTGTTATATTTGGAATTATTAACGAAAAGAGAGAACATCTGGGGTTATTTTGTTACGGCAGCTGGTGCTGACTAAGACAACATTCATATTATTTTGAAGTTTCCTGACTGATTCTCCCATGGGACCAGGGTTGGAAACCAGTGAGCTCAAGGCTTGATCAGACTCTGGTGTGGGTCCCCACCCCCATCATTCAGTTTTGTTGTAATAAGTCTGCTCTGTAGTAAATCTAGAAAATTCAAGATGTTCTCTATCACCAAAGAAATATGCAAATCGGTACCAAGGGAACCCAAGCTATTTCTATGATAGTCATAATAGTGAGATGTTACTTTTTGAGACTAAACTTGAGTTTTCAAGACACCTGGGAGTAAGCATGATCCTACTTTCTTAAACAAATGAAGCAATGATCTAATCTTTATTTTTTTTCACTCAAGAAATTGGCTTGAATCTGACACTCTCAGAAGCCACTCTTAGCTACTACTGTCTCTTGGCCAGTAGTTACAAGTTTGAAAGATGTCCCTCAGCCTCCATATTGTTCTCTTGAGATAGACAAAAGCAGTACAATACAGAGTTATTAGATAGAAGGTATGGTTGGCAGAATAATAATGATGTTCATACACAAATCCCAAGAACCTATGAATATGTTATTGTACATGTTAAAAAGAGTCTTGGCAAATGTGATTCAGTTCAGGTTCTTCAAATGGAGCACTTAGCCTGAATTATTCAGGTGGGCTCAATGTCATCAGAAGATTTCTACTAAGAGGGTGGCAGAGGTGTGGCATAGTTAGAGAAGGAGATTTTATGATGGAAGCAGAGGTCAGAAAGAGAGGTTTGAAAGTGCTAGGTTTCTAGCTTTAAAGATTGAAAAGCCAGGGAACGTGGGAACCAAAGGGAGGCTCAAACTTTACCTGTATGATAACCACGTGTATACTTAATCTTGAACTGTGCCCCACATCTTTAAAAAAAAAAGCTGGAAAAAGGAGCCATGAGCCAAGAAATGCAGGCAACTACAAGTAGCAGGAAAAGACAAGAAACAGATTATCTCTCACAGCCTCCAGAAGGAATATGCCTTTGATTTTACCCAGCAAGATCCATATCATACTTCTGACCTCAAGAATCATAAAATACAAAGTTTGTGATGCTTTAAGTTTGTGGTCATTTGGTGTGACACTAATAGGAAATGAATCCAGGAGTAAGAAGAAGCATTAGAACAGGAGGTTGGTGGGCCAAAGGGGCCGGAATTTGGAAGAGAGCATGCACCTGAACACTTTAAAAGGTAGGTCTTGACTTTCCATCAAATTATTTTTATAAGTTTTTAAATAGACACAGGGTCTCGCTGTGTTACTCAGGCTAGTCTCAAACTCCTGGCCTCAAGCAATC